GCTGAGGGACTCTCCTGCAGCCATCTTTGTTCAGGCTTAGGTGGCCTGAGCAGCACACAATGCCTTCCAACAAATTTTGGTTGGTAGCCCAGCTGCTCTCCTACTTGGGACAGGGCTAACCTGACTTCAGTTGTCTGTGCTGGTAACCGCTAAGCTAATTATAGCAATGTATTCTACATGGGGCTGCTTTTGAAGATGGTTCAGAGGCTGCTGCTTGTGCAAAAAACTGCAGCCAGATTGAGAACGGGAATCAGGTGGTCTGAACACCTAGTATCTGTTCTGTCCTGCTTGCATGAGTATCCAAGCCCAGTTCAAGGTGCTGGTTTAATATTATAAAGCCTTACATGACCTGCAACTGCAGCACTGGGCAGAGTGCTTCTGATCCCAACATGAACCCATCGGTACTGTTTGTTATCCAAGGCCCTCCTTCCCAGTTGTGGCCCTCCAATTACCTTCCCAGTGAGGCCTGCCTGCTACCAACATTTCTCTTTTAAGCACAAAGTTAATATCTTCTACTTCTCCCAGACATTTGGCAGCATAGGAGTTTTTAATCAAATCTTGAACTGTTCCTGTTCATTGTTTAAAATTATTTTTAGAGAAGGATCCATGTGTTGTACATACACAATTAAGGTTTTAATCTCTGTAAACAGTCTTTTCCTGAAAACAGTGTATTTTTGTATGTTTTTCGAGTAAAGAGAAGGGAATGATGAATGTGTAATGTACATGCTGAATGTAAGAGATGCACATGCATGAATGGGAGATGGAGAAAATGCTGCGTGTGCCTGCTGTGCCTGGAAAAATAGAGCTGGCAATCCTGTGGGGAGGGGGGAAGGGAAGAATGAACATGTAGTGAAAGGACAGAAAAGGCAGTTCAGTGTGCTGGAGCTTGGTCTCCTCCTGTGCCTTGTTCTCAGGCTTCTGAGCAGCTTACCTGTGGTGACTCACACCTCCCACAGTAACAACTTTATAGTGGTAAGAACAACACTTTCTCAATTTCCAGATGTGTCTAATGGCCCAATAAACTTTCCTACACCTGGTTTATAGTCACAGAATGAATCTGGTAGAAGTTACACACTAAGTGTTAGAGAAGGACCTCAGCTTTATTTCAGGAAAAGCCTTTTGAAGATTATGTGGTCAGGGCTCCTTGAGTTGTACCCATCTAGGCTATGTTGTCAAAAGTGGCATTCTTTGTCTAATCCTTAAGCCAAGCCTGAATTCACCCTCTGCATAATTCAAGCACGATATCTGTTCATAAAAGACTGCAAATCATAACACATGAACACTAAGATTTGTAATTATTGTAATTTGTTATTGTAATTTGTAATTCTAAGCCGTCCCGAAATGTTCTGTAGGGGACAGGATAGAAAAGCTTTTAATAATAAGACTGAAAATGATATTAAAAGACATTAAAAAGCACATTCAGAAAGCAGAAAGGTTGCAGAGGCAATTTTGGTCTAAGCAAAGAATCTGCAGTTAGAGATAAGTGCCTGGCTGCAGGCCAGGATTCTTAACCTTGTTAACACGCCAGGCTGCACACTGGAATAAGAAAACACAACACTGGTTTCCCGCTTTGGCCAGCAAGAAATCTCTCTTCAAATGTCAGCCAAGCAACCAACATCACCTACCACAAGTTATGACAGATATGCTGCTCTTGCCCACCCCAGCAACACACGAGCCACTTCTATGATTTCACCAGACATTTTATTGGAAATGTTTAAATATCTTGCAGACATATTACACAACTTTCCAACTGGGAATCTGGACAATATGAACCAATGGAGACTGGACAGCAAACCAGTTTTTCCTCGGCAACAAGCTCAAGAATGCTCTTCGGCTAGCTTCTCGGCCTTTGCCACAGCTTCTTCAATGGGTCCAACCATGTAGAAAGCCTGCTCTGGAAGGTGATCATACTCTCCTGCAATCAAGAACAAAGGTAATACAGCAAATCAGACAACGGGATCAGCTAGGATCACTCAGGAAGAACAGCTGTCTATAAGCAGCACAGCATGCTGTTCACTGGAGTGTACTTTGCTCCTTTCTTGGGTTCACAGTAGGACCAAAGCAGCAATTTACCACAACCTGCCTGTAACTACTTATAAACTTCCCCATACTACAACACCCATGCTTCCGTGGTTAGGGTTCAGATATAGAAGAATTAAGGCAACTGGTGACTGATCATGTTCTACTTCTTGGTTAATAAATTCTGAAAACTCGGGCGTCAAGGTTACAGATGCTATGCACACAACAGTGGAAGGGTATAACATCTTCCAGGGACAAATGACACCTAGGAGTCATTGGGGAACCTTGGAAGCAGTGCTCCAAAGGCAAGCCAGTGGGGCGTTTAGGGGTAATCAGGATATTCTTACCAGAAAGGATCTGTTGAAAGCCTTTGATGGTTTCCTTCAAGGGTACCAGCTTGCCTGCGTGGCCAGTGAACACTTCAGCCACTTGGAAGGGCTGGGATAGAAATCTCTGAATCTTGCGGGCACGGGCTACTGTCAGCTTATCTTCTTCAGACAACTCGTCCATACCCAAAATAGCAATGATGTCCTGGAGGGACTTGTAGTCCTAGAAAGACAGAACAGGCCTGTGGGTAGAGACAACAAAGGCACTCTGGAGCAGAGTAAGCCATGTGCCAAGTGCTCTTCATCCTAACAAGCAGTGCTACTAGCTAGGAAAGAAAAATGGAGAAAACATCCTGCTAAAAAGCATACGGAGAAATGTTTGCACATGCTTAGTAGTAATCTCTCCATTAGAGTCTTCACGTGATCCATCCCCTTCCTTACCTGCAAAATCTTTTGTACCCCACGGGCCACATCGTAATGTTCCTGCCCCACAATATTAGGATCCATGATACGCGAAGTTGAGTCTAGAGGATCAACTGCTGGGTAAATCCCCAATTCAGCAATGGCACGAGACAGCACAGTAGTAGCATCCAAGTGGGCAAATGTTGTTGCAGGGGCTGGATCAGTCAAGTCATCAGCTGGTACATAGATGGCCTGGGGAGAGAGGTATCGCACACATACTCGGCATACAGCAATGGAAACAATGGTAAGCCTATACATTGGCAGCTTTGCACAGCCCTTCATAATGAAAGGTGCCAGCCACAATAGAGCAGGAACGGAAAGGAGGTGGATATAGACAGTAGCTCACCCTTGTTCTGCCAAGTGAGCTATGATGACCTCAGGGTTAATTCAAGCCCCTTCACAGTAACATTCATTTCACATTTGTTACCTGCACAGAGGTGATAGATCCCTTCCGAGTTGTTGTGATTCTTTCCTGCATGGTACCCATATCAGTTGCTAGGGTAGGTTGGTAACCCACAGCTGAGGGGATTCTGCCCAGCAAAGCGGACACCTGGAAGAGAAAGAATGTTGCTTCTTTAGTCCTCAAAATATACTATAGTTGGCAGATGCCAATCTCTCACTTACTTATATGGAAAGCAGGAGTCTTAGGCTACTGATACAAGAACCACTCCTTGGTGTTAAGGACAAAGCAACCAATTTCCTCCCACATGTACTTGCTCAGGATTATTTTCCGTAGACTAGCATACTGCAATTACTATGAGCAAACAGACCCAAGTGGTCCAGAAACCCCTCCCTGGTAGACCCCAAGATGTGGGCCTTATTTTCAGAGCAAAGCTAGTCTAGTAGAATGCACTAGTCCACTGAATTCAGAGCAAGAGATTTGGATCACTGCAGAAGCTCATCTACCTCACTCAAGCTTGTCTCAAATCAAATCTATTTAATATGATTCATAAACAGATTGAAAATACAGGTAATGCACACAGACATAGTGAACAGTACAGCATGAACACTATACAAATTAAACTTGTTCACTAGACTCTCAATTACAACAGGAAAAAATCTTTTGCAACATTTTCAGTAATTAGATAACATTCGCTAAACAGCAGGATACATAAAACAAATTGCTTCTGCCAGGCAACTCAGGTGAGAGACACAATCAACACTTTAATATTCTGATAGAAATAACACAGTAAGGCATGTAGTCTCAAAATCCCCTGAACTACATCGACAATGAGATTGAAAAACCCTCTCTAATGGCAGATGGTCTACAGGTTAAGGCATGTGCAATCTGAGGCTTATAAACACAGATAGTTCTTAACTAATAAGCCTTTTTTCCCCAATAAGAAGTTGAATGCCCCTACCCAGTACAAGAAAGCATACCTCAGATCCAGCCTGTGTGAAACGGAAGATGTTATCAATGAAAAGCAACACATCCTGACCCTCCTGGTCTCTGAAATATTCAGCCACAGTCAATCCAGTTAAAGCAACCCTGGCGCGTGCACCAGGTGGCTCATTCATCTGTCCATAAACTAGCGCGACCTGGAGAATAAGAGATTTTGCATAGTTAATGATGTGCTGGAATTATGCTGTGCAACTGCAAGCTCCTAACTGGATTATATCAAGATGGTACATTATTGTATGCATACAATAATCCACTTATTCCCAGAGCACGGCACACTAACTGCAGAGGGAAGCAAGTTCATCCCCGTTCTCCACCTATGTATATAGCACTTCTATGGAGCTATAGTCCCACAATAGCTATATGCTGTATGAAAGCACATACAATCCCTTTGCTTTGGTAACCTTTGTTAAGTTTACTATTGTTGTTCGGCCTGAGAAGAGCCAGAATTCTGAAAGACTGGGCCAATCAATGTTATATTTTTAGGGCCTAGAAAAAAGTCTTTTACTTCTTGGGTAACCAGAGTATTCTGCTCACCTTGGATGTGGTATCTTTCAAGTTGATGACCCCAGATTCAATCATTTCATGATACAGGTCGTTGCCTTCACGGGTTCTTTCGCCAACACCCGCAAATACTGAGTAGCCACCATGGGCTTTTGCAACATTATTGATCAGCTCCATAATCAATACAGTCTTACCTACACCAGCACCACCAAATAGCCCTGGGAAAGAAAGTCTGTTTAATATGCCACTCATATGATCACATTCTCCTACTTCCCCTATTACCACTCTTTCCTTCTCAGAAATAATAGCTGCTTCAGTGATCTCAGAAGAACGAAAGTCACGAGTTTACTCATCAGCGAAGGAAACAAAGCTTCTATCAGCTGTACATAAGTTCTGATTGATAATTGAAATTATCCCAAGCTGTTTGTGAGGAAGCTTTGGACACCCGACCTCTAGACACAGACTTATTTTATATGGGCCCTATTAGATAACTTACCAATTTTACCACCTTTGGCGTACGGTGCAAGAAGGTCCACAACTTTAATGCCAGTGACAAGGATTTCCTGTTCAACACTCATCTCAACAAACTCTGGCGCTTCAGCATGAATAGCAGCAAACCTGCAAGAGACAGTTGGCTTCCTGCTAAATACCCTACATCCTATAATCTTGAGCATTCATATAACTTTTACAACAATTGAGCCCAGCTATTCAATATATCTTTTTTTAGGCTACACTGGGCAACACCATGGTTTCTATATGTACCTTCTAATTTTCAGAACCCTACTCATCAGTTTAACATCATTTATTTATAATACATGCAGAGCTAAGTTTGAATGCATGACAAGACCAAAACATTCTATAATGTTACTGGACTAGTTTTAGTTTAGTCTTGGAGCAAGGATGACACTTATACAGTATGAAGCAAAATAGAACATCTAATCAGACATTGCCCTCCATTTTCTAAAAAGCTACTTGTTTACATGCATCTGAACAGAGTACCCATACAAATTTGCTACATACCATTTAGAATTTAACAGTTTATTTCTTAGAGCTTCATGGCTTCAGAACTTGAAGAACTTAAAAGATTAAAGAATGATAACTGATTGTATCCAACTGGTGTTCTGCTAATGGGCAATTCTCTGATGCAGCTGAAATTTCTGTCAACAGAATGGGAAAGGAGGTAGTTCACACACTCCACAAATTTGGTTGAAGGTTGTTTCAGAACAGGAGAAGAGCTAGCCAAGGGAGCAGAAATGGCTGAAAAGTGCCTCCCTTCTAATTTTGTCAACAAATGTCTCTAGATCAGAAAGCCTTTTATCAACAGAAAACACCAAGTAGATACAATCCAGCAAAAGTATTTGTAGCAGTCAAAAGTCTTCTGTTGCAAGAGTCTTTAAACACTTGGAAGATTCTGTCGGTTAAACATACCAGCCAAATATTAACAAATATGTAAAGAAATAAATGTCCAATGTTATTTGAAACTGAAGCAAGTAATCTGCTTTTTACTTCAGCCTATGAACAACAATTGCCTTAATATTAATCCCTCACATTCTCACTTACTGTTTGGTTTTTATTGGGCCTCTTTCATCTATTGGCTCTCCAATCACATTCATGATTCTGCCAAGGGTCTCAGGTCCTACAGGAATTCTGATTGGTGCACCAGAATCCAAAACTTTCTGGCCTCTCACCAAACCTTCAGTACCATCCATAGCAATGGTACGAACAGTATTCTCACCTACGAAGGAAAAGAAGCATTACAGAATATTCCATTACCTCTAAATCAGACTTCAACCACAGAAATGCATTCCAGGGTTCAGAGGAGTTCATTTTCCTCACCCCTGTGTCCATTCCCAATGATAAAAATGCAAAACACCATTTCTTAAGAAGGATAACACAAGATGTAACTAAGATTTGCTTGCACTAACTACATACTTTGCCTCCTCAGGTTCAATAATTGGAGACCAAGACCTCCCATCCACCAAATCTATAACTAAAAAACCAGCCCTTCAGTAAAAATTTGTTTGATACAGGATGCCAATGTCAAGACTTCATGAAAAAAGGAAAGGTAAAAATTTATTATACCCTAAAGTTTCTGGACTGACAATTCTGGAGCGACAAATTGGTCCTTAACCTATCAGGACATATTACCAATGTCATCCATCACCTGCATTCACATGAAATTCAAACATAGTAAGCTGGAGATTGCAACCAGTTAGAACTGGGATACAACAATAATCAATACTCCTAGCCCAAATGACTTGGTATGTGACCACTGGTCCTTTGGCAAGCTGCTCATTTAAGTGTCCTTCTCAGATCATAAATATGGCTTCAGCAAACTCAGAAGAACGAAAGTCATATTTTATGGATCATCAAGGAAGGAAGAGTTAAAGATAACTAAGGAGAAATCACTCTTACCTAAGTGCTGTGCCACTTCTAGCACCAGACGTGTGTCTCTGCCTTGTACCTCAAGAGCATTGAGGATTGGTGGCAGGGCCTCATCAAACTGGACATCCACCACAGCACCAATGACTGCCACAATGTGTCCAGCAGAGGTGCCAGCTTTGGCTGCAGGAGCTGTCTGTGCAGCATAGTTCCGGCCTGGGTAATAAAGGACATCCATTTAGAAACCAATTTTGATGCTAATTTATTTATTTATTTAAAACATTTCTATGCCGCCCCCATCGCAACAAAGCCTCGGGGTGGCTCACAACAAAAACAAAGAAATGCATATAAAAATTATACAATAAAAATATTAACAATCAAAGGGTATTTTCAGTTCCACTGCAAGCAACACCCCAAGTAGATACCCTAAGGGAGCTGAGGTTTAAGACATCAATTTAGCATAGGCAACCCCAAAGTAATGCTTAGATTGTGACCTTCACTCAGAACACCTTGGGGTCATCAACATGAGAGGCTATGTAGGCAAAGTAAGGCAGTGATCAGGACAGAGCACAGATTGCTGTAAAGCGAAGACCAAGTGTAATCTCTCCAGGATATGTAATGTCCTACTTGGCTGAACTGCAATTCGCAGCACACCACAGCCAGCCATGCCCTCAGTTATAATGAAACGAACCTAGAGGACATCAGATTGGGTAAGGCTGTTCTACCCTAAATGCAGGCCCATACCTCTCTTCTTCCAATCCCCGGTTTCCAGATCCAGAAACGCTGTCTCTTAAAATGCACGCGATAGGGATCAATTGCTAGTTATTATCAAACCCTCTTTTAATATTTGCTCCGTTAGGCCAGAAAAGCAACCCGGTCCAACTTTCCAGATTGCTTTGCACCCTCTGCAGAATTCTCCTGAAGGCATTTTCAGAAGCGAGAGCGGAGACACTCGTCTCATGCACGAAAGACAACCTTTTTCTTCGAGCCCCGCTTCCCCGATCTGCGGAAAAGACCTCCCTAGACATGTGCACCGGCTTCCTCCGTACACCCCACAGCAAAAGCACCAAAGCAAGCCTTGCGGCGAGTGCAATGGCAACTCGAATGCCATACCTTGGACTGCTCGTATCCCCTGCCCACCCAGGCCCCGAGGCTTGACTTATGCAGGCCAAAAGGAAAGAGGTGCAGCACGAACAACTGCTTCCCAGTTCAATACCGCAAATTCACGCACCCTTCACAAGACCAAGTGGAGGCACGCCTAAACTGATGGATGGGGTGCCCCGGCAGCCAAGAGAGGCCCTTGGCAGGAGGCTTCTGGCGACTGCCCCAGGTCGAGACCATCCTCGCCTCCGTTCGCGCCACTAGGCCGCAAGGTGACCCCGCCCTCAAGCGCTCTGCCTTCGCAGCCTTTCACTTACGGGCCTCGGTGGCAGCTGCGCCAACTCCTCCTCGAAGCTGCAGCAAGTCCTGGAGCGGACTCGTTGCACTCCGCACACCCCGCAGCAGCGAGGCGGCCGAAGAGGCGCCGCAGCGACCCACAAGCCCCAACATGGCGGCCACCGACTGAGCAAAAGCGCCGTGCCGCTGCCGACCTAGATCAGCTCTGACTGAAAGGCGGAACTCTGCAACCTGAATCTGCTATTGGTCGGGAGAGGTCATCCTTCTAAAGTTGATTGGGTTAAAGTCTGTGTCACTCACCAGCAGGAGGACTCGCTGATTGGAGAAGGCTCGGCGTCTCTATCCGTTCTTCAGTCTTAAAGAGGCGGAACTATAGCAAGTGACCATCCTGAGAATAAGCGCTATCTGTTTAGCACAATAGCACTTTCTTATTGGATGGAGGTGATGCTTTCCAAAGATATGCCGCTTGATAATTGGATGAATTTTTTAAAGTTCCACCCTTATAGATACTGTTAGGCAATGAATAGGAAAGAGGCGGACATAATTTTTAAGGGCAAAGGGCCTATCAAACACGTGGTCCTGATGTCGTTCTGGGAATGGGAAGTTGTCAGCATTTCCACAGGTCTCATGAGCGCAAGGCGGCGCACTGTCAGAAAAAACCTTGGACCTTGGAACGGAAATGCTAATTTCAGAAATGCTATATACAAAAAATAAACTAGAATAAATGCATATTTCTGTGCATAGTTAGTCAGACGTAAGTATATATCCTCAGTGATTCATCACAGAATTGCAGTCTAGGATCACTAACTTTATATAGTACTGGGCTAGCAGCGTTTGGAAATGAACAGTGAAATGGCTGCAATCCACATAGGAGGAAGTAAACTTCTTAGGACCATACTTCAATTTTATCATGTATTGCCATATGTGATTATGCATACCAGGAAGTCCTTCCATTTTCAAAATACATTTTTGGAACCTTCATACCAAAGGTGGACATTTAATTGAAAATAGGCCTACCATATGGTCTTTCCATGATATTCTATTTGGCCACTTGCATACTGTCTCCACTTTTCAGTCACTTAACTATTTAACCTTTCTGGGGAAAAAAATGTTGTTGTTGTTAGTCGCGAAGTCGTGTCCGACCCATCGCGACCCCATGGACAACATTCCTCCAGGCTTTCCTGTCCACCACCATCCCCCGGAGTCCACCTAAGCTCACGCCGACTGCTTCAGTGACTCCATCCAGCCACCTCATTCTCTGCCATCCCCTTCTTCTTTTGCCATCTATTGTTCCCAGCATTAGGCTCTTCTCCAGGGAGTCCTTCCTCCTCATTAGGTGGCCAAAGTATTTGAGTTTCATCTTCACTATCTGGCCTTCCAAAGAGCAGTCAGAGTTGATCTCCTCTAGGACTGACCAGTTTGATCGCCTTGCGGTCCAAGGGACTCACAAGAGTCTCCTCCAGCACCACAGTTCAAAGGCCTCAATCCTTTTGCGCCCAGCCTTCCTTATGGTCCAGCTTTCACAGCCATACATTGCAACTGGGAAAACCATAGCCTTGACTATACGCACTTTTGCTGGCAGGGTGATGTCTCTGCTTTTTAGTATGCTGTCTAGATTTGCCATAGCTTTCCTCCCCAGGAGCAAGTGTCTTTTAATTTCTTGGCTGCAGTTCCCGTCTGCGGTGATCTTGGAGCCCAGGAAAATAAAATCTGTCACTACCTCTATTTCTTCCCCATCTATTTGCCAGGAAGTGAGAGGACCGGATGCCTTGATCTTAGTTTTCTTAATGCTGAGTTTCAAACCAACTTTTGCACTCTCCTCCTTACCCGCATCAAGAGGCTCTTTAGTTCCTCCTCACTTTCTGCCATTAGAATGGTATCATCTGCATATCTGAGGTTGTTGATATTTCTCCCAGCAATCTTAATTCCAACTGGTGATTCATCTAGCCCCGCCTTTCTCATGATGTGCTCTGCATATAAGCTAAATAGGCAGGGTGACAGTATACAGCCTTGCCAAACTCCTTTCTCAATTTTGAACCAATCAGTGGTCCCGTGTCCAGTTCTCACTGTTGCTTCTTGACCCGCATATAGGTTTCTCAAGAGACAAATAAGATGGTCTGGTACTTCCATCTCTTTAAGGACTTGCCACAATTTGTTGTGATCCACACAATCAAAGGCTTTAGCATAGTCAATGAAGCAGAAGTAGATGTTTTTCTGGAACTCCCTAGCTTTCTCCATGATCCAGGGTATGTTGGCAATTTGATCTCTAGTTTCTCTCCCTCTTCGAAATCCTGCCTGTACTTCTGGTAGTTCTCGGTCCACATACTGCTGGAGCCTAGCTTGTAGGATTTTGAGCATAACGTTGCTAGCACGTGAAATGAGTGCAATGGTGCGGTAGTTTGAACATTCTTTGGCATTGCCCTTCTTTGGGATCAGAGTGTAAACTGACCTTTTCCA